AATTGCACATGTACTATTACACTTGGAGACAAAGGGAAAGTTGTTGGCTCTTTAGGTTGCAGATCAAATTAAAAATGTAGCCACACCAATGTCTGAGAGAAACCTTGACATTGTATTTAGAGATGAAAAGAAATCAGTTTGAGAAAACAGAAACAGAGACCTGGTGTTGAGCAGCATGATCTGTGGCAACACAGAAAACCACATATGTCCATTTTCTCCGTCACATCAGAACTAAAACTCATCAAGGTTCTTGCAGAAACTCTTGCAACTGGTTTGTTTCTGCAAACTTTTTGTTTGCAGAAACAAACCATATTTGTTGGGAAATTTGTCATTGTCAGGAAATGTCCGTGTGTAGACGTACGCGGATGTAGTTTTGTGATGAAAGCTGCAGATTTTCTAAATCTGCTGCAGTCCAGTGGCGTTTGAGCAGTTTCAGAGCTGCTGGAAACAACAGAGCTGTATTTATTTCATGTGACAGGTTGCTAAAGGTTAACCGTAGGGAGCATTATCTTGCTATTGCAGTGATTTTTAATGTTTTTTTGCTCAGATATCTACCATGTAACGTAACGTAAATCCTGCCAGTGTTCTTTTACAAATTTATTTGGGAGAATCAATTAATAAATAGGGAAGGATCTTGCCATTTCATTTGTTTGGAAAGATAAAATACCTGCCTTATGCAAATTATTTAAACAAGACAAAACCAACTAATCAATACACAGAAGAAAGAACTTGAGAAAGTTAATGCTGCTGTAACTTAGAAAATGTTCTGAATGGCGTCACCTTTTATTGAATCTAGAAGATTTATGCGTTATGAGAAAAAAGGTAAGCGGGCAGAGCCTTGAAACTTCAGCAAATATTTTCAGAAGTGCATTATCTCAACTTTATATGTATGGGAATATATTTTAACTCACTGATCCTGCTTTTTACAATGACAGTCAGTATAAAACAGGATGATGCATGAAGCAGCGTTACTGACATTTTACATCCTAAATTGATCTCCAGACTGCTTTATTATAAATGAAACCCACCACAAATGTAGTGCTTCACTGAGTCTGAGTGCTTGTGGAGAGTTTCAAATTCTGCCACATGGTAAATAATTTGTCTTAAGCAGCCTTGGCTACGGCGCAGACATCCAGGCACTTACCCTGCAAATGCAGTGAGGGCTGCACAGGAGTACGGAGCCCAGGAGATGACAAACAGCAAAATGACGATTAAGGCGATTTTAGCCATTTTCCATTCACTCCTCATTTTATGGAACCTCTTTGCAGAGTCTCTTCTTCCCTCACAGTTGATCTTTGATATCGCTCTGCCAACCACACACAAAATGTTACATTTTTGGCGTATTTTTTGAGTAATCCAAGCAGGAGTTTATCTCTGTGGGAGAATGTTGGTTCTGACAGTGAAGAAATGCGGATGTACCAACCGTGTTGTGTGGCGGATGGCTCTGAAGATGCCGCAGTAGCATAAGATGATGATGAAGAGAGGGATGAAGAAAACAAATGTAAAGAGCAACATGGTGTAGGAGCGCACCGAAGGGGTAAAGGTCATGTAGTCCCAAGAGCAGGAAGTCATCAGACCCTCAGGGACGTAGGCACCTGTGAGAGGGCAAACACCGTTTTGGTTTTTACATGATCAGATTTAATATTTTAACCCTTTCATGCATGAATTATGATCCTTTGTGTCAGGATTTTTTACTTTTTTTATTGTCTTAAGGCATAAAAAAGGTAGGAAACATTTTTTTAAAAATGTTATTTGTTTTAGGGATCAATTGTAAATTTCTTCAAATACAAAGTTATTATTTGAAAAAATATATTAGTATTATTGTTCTTTATGGGTTATCTGAAGAAAATGACTTTTAGATAGCTGTCCACTGCAGTGACCACTGTGCATGAAAGGGTTAAAGAACTTTAAATTGAATGTTCAACACATTTTGCCTTCCATATGCAAGTTTCTGAACATTAAAAGTTTAGTGATTTGGACTGCCTAGTTGCTGAAATTTGCAAAACAAATAAACTTGATTGATTAATTAATTGATTGATTTTTGCATCTAGTTATAGACGGATTCCGTATGTAGTGTCTAAAAGCAAAAACAATGTTTATATTTTTATTTTCACAAATAAAAAATTAGATAAAAGCACAGACAGACAGACGGATAGATGGATAGACGGATAGACAGATAGACAGATAGACAGATAGACAGATAGACAGATAGACAGATAGAC